ATACAAACCAGATAAATTGCCTACAAAAGATTCAGCAGGGAAGTCTAAGTCACTTGAAGGTCAGTAAATTCTTGCTAATTAAATTCTTACTAAAGGTAACGTCTCAACATTTAGTTATTTAGTGTTATTTAGTCAAACTCCAAAAAAGACAGAGCCCCTTTCAACTGCCTAAAAATCCTGCTGGAGATTAGACTCAGCATTTTCCTGAGTTTGTTTACAGAAGGTCTGTGGTTCCCTCTCAATTACAGTTAAAATTTTCTAATGGCTGCAAAATTTACTTACTTCTTATGGCTTCTGCTCTTCTGCCTTGCACCGTCCCAAGCTGGAGGAGCCTAGTAATTTACTGCTTCAGGTGTTTCTTTTAGCAAGCTGGTATTTCATATCTGTGACACAGAAGAAACCAATCAACTTGGTTTCAACTGAGGAAATACTAACAAGGCTGAGAAATAGTCTTACTTCAGTTAAAGACTGCAAGTGCTTCTTCACCCATTCGTCAAATGGCAGTGCAGTACATTATCTGACATCCGTGAGACCACAGTTTCAAAGTGACAATCTGCTAATTAGGTTAAAATTTAACCTGACATTGCAGCACAAAGGAGAGGTTAACTTCTAGGTATAGGTAACAAGCACATGAGGTCAGGGATAAGAAAATTCATGTTGCACAAAGCACAGTACTACAGAACTCAAAACCCCAGTCCAGAGTACTAGCAGGACAGATTTTTTTTTCCTGGAAGATTAAAAAATAATAAAAAAAAAAATTTAAAAAAAGGTGTGTAGTGCAGTGGGATGCTTGTCCACATGTAGTCTCAGAGGAAAGGGAGGGACACTTATGGCAAACCAGAAATAAAGCCAACTCAACTCCTGCCCGAAACAGTCAGACAACCTCCTAGAGCCGCTCCTACCTGGTTGCAAATCACAGTAAGGCCACAAGGGGGAAGCACAACCCAAGAGTTCACATTTCGGGCCAAAATTTGCGATCACAGCCCGCAACAGGTAAAGGAGGACACAGCATATACAATATCAGCGGGCACTGGGCTTAATCTAGTCTTAAATTAACAATAAAATGGTATCACTAACTAATACTGTTTGTTTCTACCCTTGTTTTGCAATGCCTACCTATTCTCAGATGACAGATGTGAGAAAAACAGGATTACTTACCCTCTCTTACAGACAGACAAAGTTCTTCCCATTTTCATTATATGAAAAGTAAGACAGAGTGTGGCAGGCTTCCTTACACCAAGATGAAACAGGTGATGGAACCTTATTTCTCTCTCTGTTAGGCATTTAGAGGTCTTAAGCAAACATTTGGATCACATAAAGTGTTAATAAAAGTTGAGGCACTCCCTGATCTCTGGAAATCTCCAGAACAAACTTTGCCACACCTTTCACTCCTTTAATCTGTCAGCTCTCAGGCTGATGGTCCATACAGGACAACATAGCTTCAACTCCAGCAGCCCCAGGTGTAAAAATCTTGTTCCAAAGTCCCTCAGGAAAAGTCACTGGATCTTTCAGTGGCTCAAAATGTTGAAACTGAGATAGGAGTAAAACATCTTTAGAAAGCAATCACAGTTTCTCCACTTGTATATTGACTTTCTTTCCTGGGTTCTATTTTTAGAATAAACTGTTTCACAAATGAGAAATAGAGGGAAGGGAAGGGAAGGGAAGGGAAGGGAAGGGAAGGTGACAAACCTTGGTTTGGAAGGTCAGCAGGAATATGGTTTGTTTTCTACAGGCCAAGGAACCGCCCTCAGCAGCTTCTATACCAGACCCAGAATTACAGCATATTTTATACAAAGGAATGCATTGCACAGGGAAAAGCTGGACATGAAAAGCCTCCCCCATTTCCCTTCTTTGTCAGAGAATATGGTCATTTGTGCAATATTGCCATGTTGCATTTCTAGTTAGGATTAATCCAGCTTTTCCAGTCTTTGAATCATGCCCTGCTTCCTTTCTATTATCACACATATTTCCTCCGTATGGGTTTGCACACCATGATGAGATCAGCTCTTAACCTGTTCCCAAAATGTCATTTCACAAGCCCTTTATCAGCCTCTGGGATCTTTTCTGAATTTCTGAACTACTGAAAAGTGACTTTTGCACTTTTCACAGGGATTTCACACATAGATTTAGAAAGGACAATTTCCCCTTGTTAGCATTGAGGTCAACAGGAAAATTAAACCATACATTCTCTAGCTCTGCTGTTTGATGGTCAGTAGAATGAAAAATCATAGAGTGGTTTGGGTTGGAAAGAACCTTAAAGATCATCTCATTCCAATCCCCCTGCCGTGAACAAAGACACCTTTCCACTAGACCAGATTGCTCAGAGCCCCATTCAGCCTGGCCTTGAGCACTTCCAGGGATGGAGCATCCACAATTTCTCTGGGCTCACCACCCCCACAGTATGGAATTTCTTTCTCATATCTAATCTAAATCTACTCTTCTTCAGTTAAACTCATTCCCCCTTGTCCTGTCACTACATGTCCTTGTAAAACGTCTCTCCCCATCTTTCTTGTAGGCTCCCTTCAGGTGCTGGAAGGCCACAGTCAGGTTACCCCAAAGCCTTTTTCTTCCAGGCTGAACAAAACCTAATTTCTCAGCCTTTCCTCATAGGAGAGGTGCTCAATCCCTCTGATCAACCTGGTGGCCTCCTCTGGACTTGCTCCAACAGGTCCATGTCCTTCCTCTGTCAGGGACCCCAGGGGTGGATGCAGCACTGCAGGTGGGTCTCACCAGACCTCCTTGACGTGCTGCCCACTCTCCTTTTGATGCAGTCCAGAGCAGGTTTGGCTTTCTGGCCTTTGAGTACTCCATGCTACTCCATGTCCAGCTTCTCACCCACCAGCATCCCCAAGTCCTCTGGGCAGGATTGGAACCCAGTACAAACAGGCATCCTTTCATCAGTCCCTGGCTCAGACCCTCAGCTTCAGCTGAATATTTAAGGAACTTGGCTTTTAGAAATACACACTAGCTTTTACAGTATTTTTAAGACCTAATGAAAATTCAGATGTTTAATATTTCTATTGCTGACTGGTTTTAGTCTTTTCTCTTCCTACTTCACCTGTGGAAGCTGGTGTTAAAAACAACCTGAATGAGCCAGCACACACCACATCATTTCCTTTGTCCATCCCTTTAGCAACTGCTTCCTCCCTTCAATGTAAAGTTCAGCCCTTTATCTTCCTCAGCTTGGGCCACTGACCTTCCCCCCAGAGGCATCCTGACCAACAGGGTGAGTCCACTCTTCACAAAAGAGTCCCAACATGGAAGGATTTTTTCAGCATAAAGAGAAAGACTCAGCTCCGTCCATGTAACTGGAATGGAAAGGTGCAAACAGCTAAAACTACATTTTATGTGCTGCAATTAATATGCAGCACTTCTCATCTGCTATTACTCCACAGAACAGCCCATGATTACAGAAAGTAGAAGGTAAATCAGGAATGAGTGGGAAGTATTTTTCAGAAAAAAAATGAGACCAATGTAATGATCAGTCTTAAAGCAACCATGGGAAGGTACTTTCTCCTCAGCACATTAAAAAAATCATAGTGCTATTTGCCACAGGATATTTATTATAAGGGGCAAAGATATAAATGGATTTAAAAGGCACAAGGCTAATTGCTGGAGGGAAGAATCACTAGTGGCTGTTGATGAGGGGAGGGGAGGGGATGCAGTGCTTGGCTCAGGTGAGCACTAAAACCATTGCTATGAGAAGGCTGGAAGTGGCTGCCCGGGTCACAGTCCCCCTGAGTACACCTCAGTTTCCTGAACACTTTCTGCTGGGGCTGGAGGCACCACCCTTGGTGAGACAGGTTATTGGTCTTGTCACATTCTTGTCATTGTTCTGTCCTTACCTCTCTGGCTGACATCCAGACAGACTTCCCTCCCTTAGCTCTCCATGTACTGCACCACTCCCCTTCTGGGTAGCAGGCACTGGCTGCCACTACCAGATCCTGGCTGAGCCAAGAGGCTCTGGCACTGCTTCCCAGTGCATGGCAAGGCTCATTGCCAGCACGGGCAGGGAACAACAGGAGAGGCTCTGGAAGGCTGCCCATGTTCAGGGCAGGCAAGTGTCTCCTCCCCACTTCTGCTGGGGGGAGAAAAAATATCTTCTTCTTACGATTTGGCTCCAAACTAAGAAGATGAGAAAATCATCTTTAGTCGTGCTTCCAATTTCCTGCATAATGCAAAGCAACGTTGTAGGCTACTTGTGGAAGGAAATAACATTTCTTTCTGACTAATTGCTGCCTTGTACCTTTAGACTATAGGCTGCACAGTCTGTCTCTTCCAATAGTGAAAGTGCTTATACAGAGCTATACAGGAACCTCTGTAATAGGGTCTTGATCTCATTTAGAGAAATCTCTGCACTACCATCATAAACGCAATGATTTTGCCTCTTACAGATACTCTGTGTATGACCTTTCAAAATAAAGCACTGGAGTAATTGCAAAACAAGTTTCTTGTATCAACATACAAATGCCATCTGTCAAAAAATGAAGGCAAGAATTGTGTCATATTAAGTGCCAAGGTCTATGTCAAGATCTATTTCAACATATTTACATTCCTCTCATTCCGAAGGCATCTGCATACCCTGAACACAGAGTCATTAGGAATGGAATCACTAGAAACAATTAATAAACACCTGTTGCCTCCCTTGGCAGCTTGTCCCTGTGTGCACAGGTTTCCCAATAGTCAAAGATTGGCTTATTAATCTGATTTATAGCTAATAATGTTTAAAGCGCGGGAGTAGAAATTGCTGTTGTATAATTCTCATGTTGTAACAGCCTCTCTGAAAGGGAAAGTTTTTACTTTTTCCTAATGATGGTCAGATTCCTCATCTCTTGTCTGGAAATTTATCCCATGGCTACTGTACCTTCAATGTGAAATAAAAAGAACTCAGTAGGAAAAATAAAACAAACCCATGAACTTTTCTTTCTGAGTGTGAATAGTTGTATTTACTGCACTGAGAGAAATGTACCATGATGTTTTATTTTCTGTTTTTTTGGAAGGGGATGAAGGGGAAAAGGGAGACAGAGGAGAAGTAGGCAAACAAGGAAAGGTTGGACCAAAAGGATCAAAAGGTATTTATGATGATTTGTTTGCTACTGTTGGTATAAGAATATCATTATACACAACTGTACTGATGCATACAATTGGTGTTTAATGCTTTTCATTCCTGTTTCACCAGTAGATTTCACAATCCTGTCAAACATTAATTGGTGAACATAATACTTAGCTTGGTTCAATTCCTACTGATACTTAAGACAAATATATATGGCTGGCATGAGTGTGATTCAGAAAACCTAGATCATATACATAATCAGAAAGATTACTCTTACTGAAATTAGCCTTTAGTTGAAATTGAATTTTAAGCATTATTGCTTAGCAATACATCAGGGTGCTCAATAAAATTTGGTTTCAGTTGTCTGTAAAAAAAAGCAAACAAAGCCATACATACAAAAAAAAAAGTTCCTCTGATCAAACAGTATCCAAGATGAGAACACGGAGTTGCAGATGTTTCAGGACTTGGCTCAATTAAATATGTCCCATATTCATAGTGCGACCTGGGCAGATCATTTGGAGGCACCAGATGTGACCTAGCCAGCCTTGTTTGCATACTCTAATTTGAAAGCTTAATTTATCTTTAGAGTTTAATGATAATGCAGATCCAAGGTCTTTCTTCCTTGACTGTAGTTTAAGACTAATCAGCAAAGTTTTTACTTTTATAGAAACTTTAAAATCACTCTGTTATTATATAATAAAAACCTTTTTCCATTTTTAAATGCGTTCTTATGATTTCACTTCTTACCTTAAAAAGAACGTCAGGTAAGATACAAGGAATTCAGGGAATCAACCATTTACAAAACATCTTATTGATGTCAAATTTCTTTTGCAAACTGAGATACCCTAGATTGGCCTGTCATCATTAGACAGCTATTTCAGAACTTACACTCTTTATTAATCAATTAAAAAAACGACATCTGTTATTTTGGTGCACTGAAGACTGGGAAAACACGTACAGCAAAATTAGTAGCTCCCTACTTGCAGTCCTGCTTGGAGAAGGACTCCCAGCGAAGCTACAAGGACTTAGCAAAGTGTTTTGCCTGGGGTGGAGAAAAATAAAAACTGCCAGCCTAGTTTGATGGTGAAGTAAATCACTAGCAGTTTTAGTTTCTATTTTCTCTAAGACAATATGATGATTGAACAGGTAATTCCATTAAGGTTCTTTGCCATGTCTTACTGTTGTACCCTACAGGAGCAGGGATCTGGCTGTACTCTTCCAAACATCCACAGGGCTGTGCTCACTTCATTTTGCCACACACACAGACTGGCCACACTCAGGAAAAATAGCAGCATAGAGACCTAAACAGTGCCTCATAAAAGAAATTACAGCAACTATCCCTACTCATTTCCTCTTCATTTCTTCTCTTAGGAAACAAAGGACCAGTGGGCGATGTTGGTGACCAGGGAATGCTTGGTAAAATTGGTCCAATTGGTGGAAAGGGTAAGCTCTGGTCTGGGAATTTTCTTGGGTTTTTTTTCCCTCAAGGTAAATATGTGCTTTATGAGAGCTCCAGATAAGGAGCAATATTAGATAATGATATGACCTATGCTCTCCAAATAAAGTTATGCATAAAGATTGGTGATGAGAGCTAACTGAAATACCCTAGTCTTGACACATGCAATATATCCAATTAACTTGGCTAACATAATTTCTTTTATGAATTAAGACATCAATCCTCTTTGATGGATCTAGTTGAAGATGTTTCTGCTCATTGCATATGGGTTGGACTAGATGACCTTTGAAAGTCACTTCCACCCCAAACTATTCTATGATCCTGTGGTAAAAGAGGAAAGAAGAAATCCAGTTCCTGTGAAGTAAATCCCCTGAACACTCTAAGAGACAAATTTATGCCTTTGATTTGAATGCTGAAGGCCTAAGTCACTGTCCTGCTGCTGCTGAGGATGCCACACCCTGTCACCTGCACTGCTGTGGATCACGTGAGCAAGCAATGCACAGGACATCCCTGTCCTGGTAAGGAACAAATTCAGGAGTTTTAAGAAGGTGCTCACATAAGCAGGGATGGCAACTACTGGAAATCAAGGTAGACTCCAAATTTGCCTGGACAATAATTTCATGACATTGTGCTCTATTTATCTTGAGAAGAAGCTCAGGCATTCCTTTCTGATACTCCAAAAGAGCCACTGAAGAAGGAATATTGCTTCTGCCACAAGGAGATCTGCCTTGAAAGCTGATCAAGGACACCACTACAGGGACAACTCTGGGGTCTCTAACCAGCACATCAGCTTGGGTATACTGTTCAGTGGGTGCAACAATCTCTCTGGAGAGCTTCTCAAACCACTGTTTTAAATAAACCTTTCATGGCCTCTAGCCAGCCTCAGTATCAGGCAAGCAGAAAAGAATTTGACCTGAGGGATTAACTTTCAGAAGTACCTAGAAAACGGAAAACTCTGAGAATTATCTCCTAAAACGTCTTCAATCGCCAAAGGAGACAAAAATGAAGAATCTCACAAGTTGCTTTTCTTTATCTGGAAGTAAACCAATGTTCTGAGTCTTTAAATCAAACTCTTTTTTATCTGAATGCACAATTTATTGTCACCATACAGATTTTTCTAATTTTCTTTATTTGTGGAAGCAAAGGTCACTAAGTCCATGTTTAAATCTGTGATTAAACATTTGAGTTCTTAATGAAGCAACCCCTGAATTCCAGCTTGCAAGTGTGCAGTGTCAAGCACTGCTAATTAAAATGACAGCCAATTATTTAAAAAAACACAACCATATAAAGTAAAAAGTACATGTAAAAAACATGGTCATCAATAAGGCAGAGCAAGTATTAGTATGTTTTGACCTCTGAAGGTCTTCGTAAAAGAGCTGACATGAATTTCAGATAAAGTCCAGCTGTTCCTGACCGAAATTACAGCTGAGATTTTTTTTAAAGAGCTGGTCACTTCCATTTATATAGTAGCAGAGTATTTGGGAAAGTATTTATATTATTTTTATAATTTACAAGAGGGGGCGAAGCAGTTGGATGTAAATAAATCACATTTCCATAAACTGAACTGAAATGCTGCTCCTTAATGACCTCCCTCCGTGCAGGTGCCAGCTGCTGCCCACACACAATCTCTTGCATGTGTGAATTCAGTGGCTTAGAGCACATCTGCTCCCTCATCTCACCACGGAACTACTGAACCTGGGGAAGGGCTCTGTCCTGCAACCCCTGAGAGAACCCAGATCTCACCTTTCCAAGATTTCTTGAGTGCTTTCAGCCTCTCAGGATCATTTTGCAGTTTCTATTTAAAGTAAGTGGTACCAGGAACCAGCAGCACACAAGATGCCAGTGTTATCAGTGAGTTAGCTATTAAAGGGTTCTCATTTCCATGCACCAGAATTAATCGTGGTTTGTTTAACTTGGCACATCTTCCAGTACAGTCCATCAGAGCTTCCCATCAAAAGCACACTGTTCATATGTTATTAAATGGGTCTTTGAATATGCTTCCCTGACATATACACTGTCTGACATCTGAGAATATATCTCCTCTTTATTCAGGTGACAAAGGAGCCAAAGGCTTACCAGGGATTTCAGGAAAAAAAGGAAAAGCAGGTATGCTACACATCCTTCTGTGCAGAATGGTCAAGTCTGCAGGATCTTTGGTTTCAGGGTTGGTTTGTATGGAATTCCATTAAATTTTGAGGCCCAAGGAAAAATGTGAGACTATATGAAATGTAAGGAAGAGACTGAAAATGTTTTGTTGAACAAAATAAAGGATCGTGTAGGGACATGACTGATTCTTATGAATACACCAGCATGCACAAGATATGAAGTCACTCAAACTCATGGGCAATGTTTGGTATCATAAAAACTAACACACAGGCCAGCAGTATGCATTTAAACTGGATAGTAGAAGAAAGTTTCCTAATATCAAAGAAAAATTAAGCCCTTTAACAGTTTCCTAATAGGAGCATAGGGACAAAATGTAAATGATTTTAGATAGAACATAATCTGTTGTCAAATTAATGCAATGCATTTGCTTGGAGTAGGAGAATTTGAATAGTTACCCTCCTTGAACTTACACTTGTGTTTATTTTTAAGAGATTTAATATAAAATGACCATTTGGTTCTTAATAGGAAACCATCAGAAACTTATTTTCTTTCTGAGAAAAACAGAAGAACAAACAAAACCTCTATCAAGTCAAATTCCAGTTAAAAAAAAAAGATTAACTGAGACTTCAGTGCTTGAAAGCTATTGATTATTTGGGTTGGTATTAACTTGCTTAAGCCAGTTAGCAAGGGAGTGTACAGAGGCAAAACATTACACACTTTGATCAACAGAAGTATAGCCAGTGGGGTGAGGTGAGACTGGTGCTCCATAAGTGGAGCCCAGGTCTTCAGAAGCTTTTGAAGTGGGCTACAGGCAACTCTTCATACACACACAAATGCTTCTAAATAGGTAAACCCTCTTTCCTTTGCATTGCACCAGGCACGGTCTGTGACTGTGGAAGATACCGCAGATTTGTTGGACAACTGAATATCAATGTTGCTCGTCTTAACACATCCATCAAGTTTGTGAAGAATGGTAAGGATCCTTATGTATTTGATAGGATTTATTTGACTCCAAAACCAGATATCATTGCTATTCTTCTACCATTGTTGCTCTAAGGAAGTATCCACAGATGACCCAGAAAGAGAGTCCTCTGTTTCAGGCACTCTGAAAACCTAAAAGGAGAGACAGTCTTACATCTGTAAGGATAAAAGGACCAGATTACTAAAAGCAAAAACAATACAGAAGTTATCAACAGCACAAGAGAATGCATTGTGAAAAGCACGAGGAATGATTTGCTAACTAGCTCTGCACTATCATTCTGCTCAGGTTTGGTGGCCAGTCAGGCAATATAAGGCAGAAATTTGTGCCAGTCTGCTTCAGACAGGCAGGAAGAGCAATAAGAACCTTTTGATCTTTCTGCTGCCTGGGAAGGCTGCAGACACAGTACTCCTAGTGCTCCCCTCAGTGCACACACAATTTTCCTGTAACAAGGGACCAACACTCAAGGATATGGGTTATAAGAAGCCATGTTTGCAGGCAGCACTGCCAGGTGGACAGTGCAAACTTCCCCACTGAAAGGAAGGGAGTTTCCTGACATAAAAGTTATTTTGAGACAGCTCTACCACTGCTTCCAGGACTAGAGCTCTATCAGTAAATTAAATGAATTTGAGACTATTCTTTGTCATTGTGGGCACACAGCACAGAATAACATCCTTCTATATTAAAAATACCACAAAAATGAATGATGTATTATCAAAGAGTGTCCTTCTACAAAATTCTAAGCTGTGCCTGGGGTAACTCCTGAATTGGGGAGAGTTGATTTTTCCAGGCCAAACTCTGCTGAGGACCATTCCAGAAATCTGTTAGTAGAGACAATCAACTTCCAGCAACCCAAGCATGCTCCTTGGCACTGCATAATTCACTAGGATATACACTCACTTGTTGAGAGGTCTGCCTTTTAAAGTTCCTGAGCAACCACAATTTTCTTCCTAGTCAATGCCACAGTGCTACAGCAGCTGTGAATATCAGGCTGTATCTAAAATGTCTTATCTTAGCAGTCACGTTCATTTTCTTCTACACGGAAAGGGCCTTAAAGGGCCTTAAAAACTATCTATACCCCTGTGTTTCTACCCCTGGGCACTCTTTCACAATCTATTCAAGAACATACAAAGCAATAGGGTGATCCAGAATTAGACATTGCCATTTGACCATTTAGCATGCCTTAAGTTGATTAGTAGTAGATATTCAGGAAATAAAACTGAAGTGTCACAGGAGACGAGCAATCAGGACTGAATAGTTCTTGTACAAATGCGTGTTAAATGCTGACAATCCCATTAGTCACATCGATCTCTGATGTCCTCATCATTCATCATAAATACAATAGTGGGAATACTTTTTCTCCTTCTCTTGTATTAATTCTAATGTAAAAATAATCTCATTGTCATATTGGAATAGAATACCTTCAGCATCTGTTGACATGCCATTAAGGAATTTTTCTTCTTCAAAGTTATAGCAGGTATCAGGGAGACAGATGAGAAATTCTATTACATTGTGAAAGAAGAGAAGAATTACAGAGAAGCCTTGATCCACTGCAGGGACAGAGGAGGATCACTGGCCATGCCTAAGGATGAGGCAACCAATGCCCTGATTGCTGACTACATCTCCAACAGTGGCCTGTTCCGAGCCTTCATTGGGCTGAACGACATGGAAAGAGAAGGACAGTTTGTGTATGCAGACAACAGCCCACTGCAGAACTACAGTAACTGGAAGCAAGGGGAGCCTCATGACCCAGCTGGCCACGAGGACTGTGTGGAAATGCTCAGCACAGGAGAGTGGAACGACTCTGAGTGCCAAGTCACCATCTACTTCGTCTGTGAATTCCTCAAGAAGAGGAAATAAAAGTGCCAGAGAATGTGCCTGGCACCTGCTGTACATACGATAACCCATCCTCATTCATTTACAGTAGGGAAATCAAACCAGGGGTAGGAAACCAGGGACAGGGCTCAAGCCAGCCTTCACATCACTGGGCTAATACTGTTTAGTCATCAGTGATCTTCAAGTCAGCACAGAGGGCCTCCAGCCATCTGCAAATTTTAATTTCATTTCTACACGCATTTTAGGTTTTGCATTTCTATGTGTAATTTAGGGGTACATTTAGAGCATGCAGAAGTGAATATAATTTCACTAGTTCCACAAATAGTAAGATCATTGGTATATGAAGTACTGATGTGATTTGCGAAGTCCACAGATGCAAAGAGCATGCAAATCTCTGACTTGCCCAGGGAGTCCCAGTAATCTCCCTAATTACTTCAGAGCTCAGAGAAAAGATTTTAAGTATCTCTTGAAAAATTCCTTCTTTTGTTAGAATCATATTTTGAGGTGGAAGGTATCTCTGGAGGTCATTTGCAAAATAGGACCAACTTCAAACTTAGAAGTTGTTATAGTCTCCTTAATTTGGCTGTGCAATTATATTGCCTGATAGGCATTTATCTGGTCTTCTGTAAAGCCTTTGACATGATCCTCTACAATAACATTCTTTTTAAATGGGACAGATGGATTCAATGAGTGGACTGTTAGATGGATAAAGAATTGATTAGATGGTTGCATCCAGAACGTGTTGGTCAATGGCTCAGTGTCCCAATGGACATCAGTGACAAGGGATGTCCCTCAGGGATCTGTAGTGTGACCAGCACTATTTAATATCTTCATTAATGGCATAGACAAAGGCATGAAGTGCACCCTTAGCACATCTGCAGATGGCACCAAGGTGGGTGGTGCAGCTGACACACCTGAAGGATGGGATGCCATTCAGAAGGAGCTGGATGCCATCCAGAGGGACCAGGTTTGAGAAGTGGCCCATGGGAACCTTACGAGGTTTAACAAGAGGAAGTCCAAGGTGCTGCACTTGAGTTGGGGCAACCCCTGGTATCAGTCCAGGTGAGGGATGAACAGATGGAGAGCAGCCCTGCCCAGAAGGCAGTCCTGGGCTGCATCCAAAGCCCTGTGATTCTGCCCCTCTATTTCATTCTGGTAAGGCCCCACCTGCAGTGCTGTGTCAGCTCTGGAGTCCCCAGCACAGAAAGGCCATGGACCTGGTGGAGCAAGGTCTAGAGGAGGCCACCAAAATGATGAGCAGGATGGAGCATCTCTCCTGTGAGGAAAGGCTCAGAGATTTAGTTTTGTTCAGCCTGGAAAAAAGAAGGCTTTGGGATGACCTGATTGCAGCCTTCCAGTACCTGAAGGGAGCCTACATGGAAAATGGAGAGAGACTTTTTACAAGGACATGTAGTGACAGGACAAGGGGGCATGAGTTTAACTGAAGGAGAGTAGATTTAGATTAGATATGAGAAAGAAATTCCGTACTCTGAGGGAGGTGAGCCCAGAGAAGCTATGGATGTCCCATTCCTGGAGGTGCTCAAGGCCAGTTTGGATGGAGCACTGAGCAACTTGGTCTAGTGGAAAGAGGCCCTGCTCACAGTATGGGGGGTTGAACTAGATGACCTTTAAGGTTCCCTCCATCCCAAGCCATTGTATGATTCTGCATAGAAGAGATCTCATTTATCTCTGTTTTCAACTCTACCATCCATCAGCCTGGCCTGAAGTGTGAGGAATTAATAGTACATAGGCATGCAAGCCTGCACAGCTTGTAGGCAACCTAAAAACAGATAGAGTAGTTCTAGTGTCTGAAGTCCCCAAAATCTATGATAAACATACAGAAGTCTAGTACAAAGAGAACAGTGTAAAGGAAGAAACACCATTCCTGTAAGCTGTAAACAGGCACGTGTAATATAAGCTATACCATGTGCACTGCTGGTTTAACAAGTGATTCTAGGAACATATTAACTCTCTAACTCAGAAGCCAGTGACGTTTGATGTTTAATGCTAAAATCACCCATGCCTTTGCAACACAGGAAGAAGCTATAGAACAGGTTTTATCCCCTAAGAATCCATATTCAGGATGTGGTTGAACAACTTAGTCATGCAGTTCAGAGGGACTCACTGGGACTGTCTGGCTACTTGGATCTCCATGTCAGAATGCCCAGAAAGAATCACATTTTTGTATCTTTGAGAATACTGACAGAACTTTTTTCTTCAGACACAGCAAGTGCTTAGTCATGGTTTGCCTTTTCTCACAGCAGGAGATGCCAAAAGAAATCTCAGGGCCATTGCAATGCAAGTCTGTAGGTTTTCTTTCCCACTTAACACTAAAAATTAAGGAAGGGTATCTGGAAGCTAAGGACAATGCTAGACACTTGGTATCACACAGAACAGGTCACTGAGCACCAGATGCACATAGTCCTCCTCTGGGTATACAAAGAGCTGGACATGCCATCAGTTAGTAATGCAGAGGGATAGCACTGCAAAGGCAACCAAACAATCATACATCCTCAACCTCACCCTAAACAGGAAAATTCTCCAAACCACTTGCCTGTTTGTTTGATTCCAAGTTCATCTCTGAGCATTGACCAACACAGGAGCATCCCAGGTGACTCTGTGACTCAGAACCACTCTTGTAATCTGGTCTCTCTGACACTTGTTCCTCTAGAAAACCTCCTGCTGCTACCAGCAGTAAATTATCTGTGTTGCTACACACCCTCCAGGAAACTATTCAGATCTGTGAATAAAGGGGTGGGACCACATTTATTTTCATTGCTCCCCTTCTATGCTACGACAGTATTTGGGTAAACAGGTTCACTTTGCATGACATAACTCAGCCTGAATTGTTCCCTCTCTGGGAGCTGATGTTCCTCAAAACTAGGCCGAATTACACTTTTTAGGATCTATTGTCATAAATTCATTAAACTAAACACTTTGGTTTTAGAAGAATTAATGGGTAATGATAAAGAATCAATGACTAATTCAATAAAAAGCTTCTTGAGGAAAAATAATGCCTTTTAGAAGTTCAAGCCCAAGGCTGCTAGCCTCAGTCGCAGCAGGTCAGTTCCTACCAGTCATGCAGAAGTGGCATAGTAATATCACTGTGGGTAGCCACAATCACTTCTCCATACTTCATCTTTACTTCTGACCCAAAAAGCCACCAAAACATGCTTACCAGACTGGAAGTCCATATTCTGAAACCCTCTGGCCATACTGAGACCACTGGCTGACAAAATTTAGAGGTGTCCTTAATGCTACATCCATCATGGATAGGCCATTTTCCTGTTCTTTAGGAGGAAACTCAGAGCTGGGAGAAGGTGAAAGTGAAGCAATACTTTGCTGCAGGATCAAGCTCTGCCTTAGCTTAGACCAGTTGCTCTCCAAGACATTCAAAATCAGGAAATACAGGTCTAAGTTGAAACTTTAGGGTTTTTTTAGGTGACTATGAGTTATGAGTAAACCTGGGCCATGCTCCATGTAGAGGAAGGAATGACTATTGCAGCCTCTGGCTGCATGGCTGAGTGAGGAAGTGAGTGAGAAACTTGTGCTGGATTTCTACAGTGGAAAGGCTGAGACTGCCCAGTTCTTCTATCCTTATCCTCTACTACCACACCAGCTTCACCCTTTCTTAAATAGAAAAAATAAACAAAGACAACCCTTTTACCCACTCTGTATTATTGGAACATTGGGCAGAGTTACACCAGCTGGAGCAAGCAGATTTGGGGTGGCAGTTCCTTTGCTAGCTAGATAAGAGGGACAGGAGAGGAGCACAGCAGATGCCAAGTGTTCAAGCCAGCCAGGCATAAGTATGAGCAGGTGCTTGTGCAGCCCATTCCTGCAGCACTACCTCCAGTTAATAAATTCTACCAAGAAACTCAACTCATAGGCCAGGCCAAATAAAAAAGCCTATACCACAGAGGAAACCTGGCAGGTAGGTGCCTGCCCCATGCCTTGTGGACACAGGCTTGAGCCTTAACTAACTAAAATATTATAGCCATGTTTTGCAGAAAAAAAATATACGTGCTATAATTAAGAATTTGGGCTACATCAAAGGTTTCCACTGCTAGACAATGGAAATTCACTGTGGTGGGTAAAGTATCTTAGGTTTATACATTAGGTGGATGGAGCCAGGAACATAGGAAATGGTGTCTGACTATTTATTATTTATGGTCTGTTAATGTGTGACACCTAAACCATTTTACCCAATCCCAGTATAACTTTTTAACATGTTTTTCTTTCCATTATGCCCAGGCCAAATGTTCTTTTTTCAATTTATACTTGCTGTTTCTTGTCCTCCCACCACTTAACTTACCACTGTGAAGAGCCTGGCTTTGTCTTCTTGAAGACACCCTCATAGGTGCTGGCAGGCTGCTAGCAGGTCCACCTGAAGTCACCTCTTCTCCAGGCTGAATAAATCCAGTTCCTTTAGCTCCTCCTCACATGGCTCTGACTCCAGCCATTCTGGGGAATCTCAGCTAAACTTGGCTCCAATTTCACATTGCCTTTCCTGGAGGGGCTCAAAAGGACACAGTGCCTAGGTGTGGTCTGACAGGTGCTGAGCAGGAGCATAATGCTTTCCCCTAGGCTCCTGGCTGTTCTCTCTCCAGCACAGTCAGGATGCCATTACCTTCTTTGCAGCTGGGGCACACTCCTGACCCACAGACAGTGTACTGTCTGCCAGGACTCCCCAGAGCCCTTGCAGTAAAGCCAGTCACCCCCCGCATGTATTCATGCAAGGGCTCAGCATTGCCAAGTGACAGGAACTTTGCATTTGCCCTTGCTGAATTTCATAAAGTTCCTCTTGGCCCATTCCTCCAGCCTGCTTAGGTTCTTCTGTACGGTAGCAGTGCTTACAGCACATTCATTGTTCCCTCCAATTTGGTATCATCTGCAAACCTGAGGAAAGTGGATTTTATCACCTCCTTAAAGTACCTGGTAAAGATGTTAAACAGGACTGTTCCTGTCTCTAGATCCCTGTGGCACCCTGCTAGGTAAACAGGAAAATGTTGTCTGGATAGAGAACAACTCATTTAACCATTCTCTTCTGAGCCAAATCAATGGATTTTTAGCCATACAGACTAAAACATCCATCCCAGCCGGGATATAAGAATGTTGTTGGAGACAATATCAAAAGCCTTGCTAAATTTGAGGTAAATGACAGCCACTTCTCTCCCCTCATCAACAAATCCAGTCATAGAATCATAAATACAATCAGCCAGCCAGACATGATTTACATTTGGTAGATCCATGCTGAGCACAGAATCAATATATCCCATTATAATACATTTTCCTCCATTTTAATTAGCACCTAGAGCCATAGATTGCCACATTCTTGACCATAGCCACAAGTATATATAGGCATCTCTACGTAGTTTTACATACAGTCTTAAAAATACATTGCAATTGTAGTTCAGCTGGCTGAAAAGGTTATTGAGATGCAATTTGACACCATGTGTGATGACAAATAGTAAATGTGTCACAGAGAGAGGATTAATATGGTTATTTGGAAACATTGCCCTAGATTGTATTGATTTAATAGGTTTGCATGGTACAGGAGCCATAAATTGCTATTTCTTTTTTTCCTCCTTTTTTATTTATTAAAGTCATAAGTAAACTACTTAACATGGGGAAAAAGGAATGAGCAAGATCAAAATAATATCTTTAATCCGTGTTTCTTTTATGCTTTTGTGGCAAGGGACAACAGCAAATGCTGTGTGCAGTGTGCCCAGCCA